AGATATTTGTATTTGATGGAAGAACTTAGGTATAAATGCTTTTAACTTCATTCGCAGCGAAAGTGATGTTTTTTGCTTCTTCGTGGTCATTATGCGTTCTTCTAAACAAAAATCTACTGCATTTATATAGTTAACCTTTATGCTTTCATCCTTGCCGAAATAATTCTATGAGATTCAAGTTGTTTTTAAACAAAAAATAAGCGGAAGTAAGGTGAGGACGGCGCGCTCGCAAAATCGCTCCTGTCCCACGCGGTGCAAAATGCCAAAACACGCGATGTCGTCAACACGTTAAGGTGAAAATGAAAGACAAAGTCAAACATTAAGTGAAAAGACAGAATTACATCTCCAAGTCGGGTTGAAAAGAGGATCAGAGCAGAATGAAAAAGGACAGAACGAAGAAACCTGAGGGAGACGCGAGGGAGACGCTATTGACATTGGCAAGGCTCACAGAGCTATATCCATCGATTATAGTGCTGATGGAATGAATTTTAATTCCTTTCCACAGCTGGATTTTCCGAGTAGTTTCTGATATAGTTGCCAAAAGAGCGAGGTAAAGTTGTCGTAGCTAAGAAGTGGCAAAATGAGAGCGGGCAGAGTTCTAAGCGCACCATCATAAGATGGAATGTGAAACGTTAGAGGCAATTTCCTTCGCGTAATTTGTTTGCTTAATCTGATTTAGATCTAGAAATGGTTGTTTTTTGAATCAAAACCGGACTAGGCAAACAAATCTCTCCTTCTTTAGTCTTGCGAATTCCAAAAGCTATCAAAATCATAGTTCTGAACTTTTTTAATCTTCTTTTGTTGTTGGCACCACATTGTTCGATAAAACGTGCACTAATATATTGGGTTGGAGCATAATATCGTAGCGTTTTTTTTCGAGCTACAAATTCAGTGAATACAAGTATTACCCAGGAAATCACATATATCATTTGAAAGTACTTCTTCCGCTCTACAATACCTTGTTTGTCATTTTCTTCTATATTGTAAGTGTACTCAGATATGGTGCTTAGAAGTTGGAAAATCAAGGTGGGCGAAAATCTATATAAAGAAAAAAGCTGCCAAAATAGGAGTTTTTCGGAATCCATCGTCATCATCGAACCTTACTCCAGAAGAATTCAAATCATATTCACGTCCAAAAAAATTGAGAAAATGACGACTCTGGAAATGCTCAGTACCCTTTTCAAACCTGAACCCGGTAATTTCTTATGGAATCAAAAAATCAAATCATAAAGTATATAATG